TTATAATATCTTTATCACCTGCTATAAGGTAATATTTAAGTTTTTGCTTTATAACTGTAAAAAATGTTTGCTTGAAACTGTGAACCCAGTCAGAAAGGATCATCTCCTGCCCATCAAGAAGGCCAATCAAAACTAGATGGGCAACTGTGGGACATCACAATACAAAGGCTTTGTTAATTGCCCCCTCACACTCATGAAGATGCTGGGTGCAAAAGGGATTACCCCATCAGCTTGAATTCTGGAAAAAGGAAATAAAAACAGCTGATAAGAAAATTTTTCATCTCTCTTTTGCTGTTTGGACTCTCACTGAGCCAAAGCTATGAAACAGAAGCAAAAATCCCCAGGGTCATCCTGGGTTAGCCCTAAAAGACATTCAGAGCTAACAGATCACTACAACTCCATCACCTTTTGTAACCATAGACTATCTCATTATATGCTTGCCTGCTTTAACCTTGTCATAACTTTCTAATTATCTTTCTTAGTTTATAAAGCCTTAGACTGTTTACTATAGGATTGGCTATGCGTGAATAAATTGACCTGGGTTAAGCGACTGGTCCTTTGGGTCTGGGAGTAACCTGAATATTTAATTATCTTTGGTGTATAGCAACCATCTATCATTAAATCCAGCTTGCCTGGATGGCAAGATATACGGAAGTGCCCAAGGGGATTGTCTATGACTCACTGGTAAGACTGTTATAGTGCTTTAGGAATTCACACTTGTGACTGGGTTGGTGAAATCTAATTATACAACATACAACTAGTTGGGGTCTCTGCCCTGCATCTTGACAGTCTGTCCTGAGGTTGCCACTCACAGTCATGAGCCACTCCAGACAGCGTGACAAATTTTTGAACAAAAAAGGAAGCCAAATTCACGAAGGCCCTGATTGAAAGGATCCTTTGAAGTCAGCCATTGGGACAGACCCCAACTAAATTATTTATTAATGAATTATTCATCCACTGCAATACAAGAGTTGAGACTCCTTATAGGAGGAGTAAGAGTTTGAAGGTTCGAGCATTTATTTTCACTATAGTAATATTACCATTCTTTAGTCTACTACTTTCTCCTTCTAGAAGCTAGTTAGAATATATTTAAACCCAGAACTAGGAGGTGGCAGATTCTGAAATGTATTTCCAGTTCTAATATATGCTTCATTTTATGGAGCAGGGGGAGGGGGAGAGAATAAAAAGAACCAATCATTTCATGATGCAAATACATTCTATGATCATAGTTATTTGGAATCAGCTGCAGGAAATACATTGCTTAAATCAGAACTTTCAGTATTATAACTTTTTATTTTTTTTACTGAAACACTCACAACAGAAAGTTAAAGATCGGTGGATCGATCAGATTCTCCTTTTATGGAAATACAGAAAAAAGAAAGAAAAAAAAAACACGGTTGTCTACCTAATGTGCTATTTTGGTAATGAAATATTTTGAACATCAAAAATAATATAAAATGTATCAATAAAGAAAAAATGCACAAGATATTTCAAATGAATCCTAAATGTGTATCACAGTATCAGGATGAATATTTGAATGGATGAAGTAAAACCAAGATTTGCAAACCCAGGGTCAGATTCTATAAACCTTACTCACATGAGTAATCCTCGCTATTTATGCCAATTAGCATGAGTGTTACAGGGAACCTGATCTGACTACCACTGAAATCAATAGCAATTTTGCCATTGACTTCAGTGGCAGGAGAATCACACCCATACATTGACACACCCTTCTATTTACACAGAATGAGAAAAAAATTTAATCTTCACTGTCTTATGTGTCTATAAAAGGTGGAAGGTCTCCTGAGATGGCATAAAAAGACATTGATGGATGTACCAGATACCAAGAGAGCAATGTTTTAAAAGCTGAAAGAGAAGGGTAAACTCCAGACTGATCTCACTAGATTTACAACCAGAGATTCAAACTGGGGTCTTAGAGCTATTTCAAAAGGTCACTGTGTATTCATCAAGCCACGGTGCAAGGTATCCTTTAGAAAAAGGGCTACTCTCCTGCCAAGCTCAGGCCCCATTAAAATGCATGCAGTGATAATGTGATGTGATTCACAGTATATGAAAAATTCCTTCCAACTCCATATTGTGGCAAATAGTTGCAAAGGATTACATAAGCAAGATTCAGTGTAGGAATCCTTGCCAATCTTTTTACAAACCACCAACTTTTTCATCTGGCAATAAATGAAAAAAACATTGGTAAAGCATGTTTCTACTCAACATTTTCCTAGCTCCCCTCAGGACCTATATGACCACGATGGAAAAATAAAATTGTAAAAGTATCACCTTGCAAAAGCCTTCTCTTGGTTTTATCAGAAGAAACAAAGTACGGAGCACACAGAGGTAGAAAACTATTGCATGGTGCCGTAACTACAACAAGGGAAAGCTGATCTCATTAAGGCCAAATGGGAGTTTTACCACTGACGTCTCTGAACAGAACGCTAAGTTCCTGATCCAGCAAATACTTAAGCACGCGCTTATCTTTAAGCATGTGATTTCAATGAGACTACTCACATGCTTAAAGTTACACACATCCCTAAGTACTTTACTCAGTCAGAGCCTGAGTCCCTTTTGCTAAGTAATGGCTGATTTACAAGCTGATGTAGGATGTCCTTGAGTTTTCCTATAACTTTCCTCCTTCCCATTGGCCCAGGCACTAAGGAAAGTTAAAAGTCTCTTTGTCTCTGCACCTGGCACAAATTCTTCTATCACTGGAGACAATGTATCATCAAGGGAAGGAGGTGCATTTTTAAATGACCTTGACATTTGATACTGATGCAAAAAGGAAAGGAGCTACAGAAGTTGAAGCCAAAACCATGGACTTTCTTTAGAATTCCTATGATTTAGTGTATCTGTCCCATGTACTGCAGATTTCTTTATAGCCACTCTTGTATATGGGCCAAGAAAGCAAAACACTGTCTCTAATGACACAGTGGAAAGTATCTAATCACAATATCATTTGCAGCATTTCTTTTATTTTAACCCTCACCCCCCCACCACCACCCTTGAGACCTAAATAGAAAATACACAGTCCCTGATTGGAGGGGTGGGGGAGCTTTTCATTTTTATAACCTGAAGTTCAAATTCATTTGATCATCACATGAATCAAGAGCAGATACAGAATTTGAATCAAATCAGATTTTCCTATAAAATCAGTCAGAATTGTCTCCGGTTTTTGATAAACATGAATCCACTTCAACATATTTCAGTGACTGTAGAGACATGCCTAATATTATTAAATGTAGCCATTTACTCTGGCATGTAAATTTAAACTTTGTCAATAATAAAAAATAATAAGCGTTTACCCAACACTTTTCACTTTCACAACATACAAATTAATACTCACAACACTCCTGTGAGGTACATAAGTATAGTTATCCCACTATACAGGTGAGAAAACAGAAGATGAGACATTAAGGAGCCCAGTTTTCAAATGTTGCATGAATTTACACGGCACATGCATAGTTACCATGATAGAATGCACAAATTAATGTTTATGACAATAACTGGTTATTTGGGTGACCAAATATCTGATTTGCACACCCCATTGTGGTACCTACACAGGCAAATAAGTCGTGCATTTTGTACTTATGTTTGTGCACCTAACAGTTTTGAAAATCAGGCCCTACATGTCTTACTTGCAAAGACCATAGAGGGAGACAGTGTTATAGCCCAAATTATAACTCAGGAGTTCAAGACTCCTAGTCCAGACCATTAGAAAACCACTACAGATAACCTCCCACACCCAATGCCCTGCTCTAGCTTCAGTCCTGACCAGAAGGATAGGAGTGAAAAGCAGTTCAATCGGTGCGCTGTTTAAATGGAGCCAACAACCATTCCAAAATGTATAAAAGGATGCATGTGTTGCTTTAGGGCCTGATGCAAATTTCACTGAAGTCCTTAGAAAGACTTCAGCGGGCTTTAGATCTGGCCCACAGCACAGTCAGTTTTCTCTATTTTGGAATAGACTGGAAATTCGAATTAATGTAAACTGGATATGACAGGCCTGATTCTGATCTCACAAAAGTTTTACACTGATGGAATTCCATTGACTTCAGTGAAGTTATTCCTGATCTACACTGGTATAAGAGGAGAAACAAGCATCATGAGCCAAATTCTGCACTCAGTTACATGGATGTACAGGCAGCCTAACTCTATTAAAGTAAATTAAATTACACTGCATTTACTCCCAGGGTAGCTGAGAACAGAACTTGGCTCGACAGACGTGCTCAGAATTACATGTAGTGATCATTTGCACTACGTGCCCTTTTAACATTGATTTTCAGCATTGTTCAAAGTGATTCTACACATTAGAAAAGTTTTTGCATTAAAGCAGCTTTAATTGTGAGTACAATATTGCCTATACATTATTTTCCTAGGATAACAATGTTTAACTATGCTGTAAAGCTCTTGCTTTATTGAAAATATAGTGTATGCTTTTAACTAAATGGCTGTCATCCAAACAAGTTGGGAGTTAGTCTCCTGTCTAATGAGTAGGTGCAATAAAATGGGTTTGTCTGACAAAAAATCACCATAGGTTTGCTAATGCTCTTACCCAGGGAATAGAGTCCTAAGCAGATACATAGTCCTAGTTTAAGAAATTAACGTTTGCTTGTTTTGCCATCCAAAGAGTATTTACAGAAGACAAAACAGCCATACTTGTTGGCCGCTGTGCAAAGAGGTGATGACATCGAGAGGACAGGTCACAAGCCTGAGTTTATTGTCATTACACTTACATTGGTACTGGGTTTTATCCACTCAGTATGATCTTCTGACCCCACAATTTTACAACCTTCCACTCTCTGTGCTTCATAGCACCTCTCCACTTCTAAGTTAATCATTTCTCTGCCATTATCTGCCAAGAGTTCTTATCTCTTTTGCTGTCACTTTATAACAGAGTCCTCTTATCAACCTGTACAGAGTCATGTGACCATGCCGAACCTATCACAAGTTTCAATTCTTCTGATTAGAGAATATCATGAAATGGGATACATGGTTTAGGGCAGGCCACTAATGTTGGAAAAAGTACAGAGTCCATTGAAAGACATACTTGCTACTTTCTGAATTCTTGGATTTTTGTTGTTGTTGTTCATCTTGCTGACTTTCACTGAAGGTTATTGTAGCCTGGGTCTCAAGGCCAGAAAAGTTTACAAGCCACACCTTTTGCCAAACTCAATGCTGTACACCCTATACCCAAGGACATTGTATATTTATACCTAATAATGTCTTCTAGTTCTGACACTGGCAACATACAGGAATCTATAAAACATGGACTTACACCAGTTGGTAAGTAAAAGCTTTTCTAACTATTATGGTAACTCTGCTTAACTCTGTTAACCTTGAGCCTTATCATCCATGCCAAATTGAAAATCATCATTATGGGATAACTTAACAACTGTTTAATTTACACTTTGATTTTATCAACAAGAATATGAATGCATTAAAATCCCTGTTTAAAATGTTAAGTAAACAGTTGATGATTTAATTGAATAGCTTTCTCTTCTCCAGGTATACTATAATCACTAAATACATAATCTGTCATCACTCTAGTCTAAAAGCCATATGGAATAACATATTTAATGTAATTATTTGTTACAATTACTAATATTTGTGCAATTGTCATTAAATATATAAAAGGCATAAATGCATAAAAATCAGGCCTAAGCCTATTGCATGATTTGAAGTCAATAAAACCTCAGAAGCATTTTATAGTCTTATCACACATAATACAGACTTCTAATACATATGTATTTTAGATGCTGTACAAATGAAGTTAAATATTCACTGAGTGTGAGCAGGGCTGTAAATAAGACAATGCATTTAACATTTTAAAGTATCTTTATAAACCTTGAGTGCATTCAGATAGCCTCTGGAATCACCAACTTCACTACACTGAAAAACTGGAAGGCATTTATTTTACTGCATTCAAGCTCTTACTGAATGTTGCATGGTGTCTTGTTCTTGATGTTGTTTCTCTGGCATGTTTTTGACTGTTTTAGGGGGGTTATTCTTCTGTGTTTTAAGCCTTGTAGATTCTCTCTGAAATTCTCTCTGTGTAGTTTTTCCCTTTCATTTATACTTCACTTCGACCTTTATAAAAATGTCAAATCTTGAATTATTCTGCTTATTTGTTCCACGGAGTTCGTACAAATTAGATCTAGAGTCGGGATTCTTTTTCCGTAGAGAGAATCTAGCATCCTACTGCCTGTCATCTGAGGGAAGAATGAAATGCCTGCTGAACTCCTGGAAAAGTATTAAGTGCATAGACAGAACAGCAGAGAATCACTCTAATGCTGGGCTCTGGGGTTAGACCGGGATGTGATTGTGCCAGGCTTGGAGGTGGAGGAATTTTACTTTTAAATAGTTTTCCAAATCCCTTGCGAATCCCGTTTGTGTCCCGTGGCCTGAGCGTCTCCTTGAGCTAGCCAGGTGTTGATCGTTGTTCAATTGACAGTCCGGGATTTGCTTGCAAACGGTCTCCAGTTGCGCCGTCCGGGTTGTATATAGATGCTCAAACCAGGGCTCGCGTAAAAGTTACAGTGGGTGACTGCGACGCCCTGGCTGAGCGCAGCACCAGGCAGGAGGTTTCTCAGCCCCAGGCAATGTTTAAATACACCGATGTACACTATTGGGTTTCACTTCTGGGGCTTGGCTTTGTGAGAACTATGGCAGGAGCGAATTAGAGGCTTGACTTTTACAACGACTGATTATAACCCGTGCCCTTGAAAGATGGTTTTCGCCTGGTGGAAAGCCTTCGGGATGGAGACCTCTACCCCTCGGTGCCTTACGCTCCCGGGTGCGCGATACATGGGTTGATCGCTGGGAGCAGAGGGATCTGAGGAAACTCTTTAGCGGGTGGTGGTAGGGGGCTGGGGAATGGCTTTGAGATCTTAGTTTGCAGGCAGTCTAAAGACAAGGAAATGCAGTTGAAACATGATCTTTATCTCTTGGGAGGGGCCGCTGCTTTTCCTTTCACTGAACTCCACAGAAGACCTTAGCTCTGCTTCCCGAGATATGTTAGCCAGCCAGCGCTCAGTGACTCCAGAATCGCCCCCAGGCCAGGCTCCAGTTCTGCGGGGGGCTTTTCCTTTCGCTTCGATTTCACATTCTCATGGGGACATCTTTCAGCGAATGAATGGTGGCTACTCCGCTTGTTCTGCTCTAAATGAACCTCTGAAACAATAATGTTCAGCGCCTAAGCGTTGGTGTTTAAACTTGGCCTGGCACAGTTTACTTCTGAGAGCGTGACTGTGTCTCGTTTCGACTGCAAAGCGGCAGGTTATGTGGGTCAGCGTCTCTGTATACTAGCCAACGAGTATAGACCTGCGTAAAATGCCCCAGTGACATGGTGAATAGGTCCATGGGCTGTGAGGGGGCTATGCCTCTGAGATCGCTTTGACTAGCGGAAGGATCTCCACCAGTCTCCTTGGTGCATCTTCCCAGACTCTAGCAACCGCTTTTCTTTCTCCATCCAAACCACAGGTTGTTCAGCACAACAAAGTGGGGTTCATTCTCCTCTCATGCCAGTTGGGGTATAAATCCATTGCTTTTCACTGCTCAGAGATACAGCGTTGTGAGAGGCACCTCAGTGCTTCAGGAGATTTTTACTGAGTCAAAACAACGCTTTCTAAATTGGGTGTTCCACTGTGATGTTGGGCCACATGCTGCTCTCATTTCTTCAGAGGGGTTACTCCAGATTTATTGAGGGCGGGCTCTGGCCCAAGGATTCCATATGTGTTCCAAATGTTGCACTTTCTGACCCACTTGTCTCAGGACCATTTGGGAGATTTTTAGGCAGACGTTCTCAGGTTGCCTTAACAGTAATCGGTTGGAATGAGGCTAAAGAGACCACAAGAGGTAAATTGGCCGAATTTGGGTCCATCTAAAGATTACTGCTCCCGGACGTGTTTAATAGAGAAAGGATCAACCCAAACTCCTACTGTGTGTGTATACCTGTGCTACTTTAAACCACAATTCGACAAGCTTAAGAAAAAATAAGAGAGTTAGTAGAGGAAAATATGAAAAGAGATAGACAGTCTGATTCTGATCTCATTCAGACAGACGTAAACCAGAACTCCACTGTCCTAAATTGGGTTAATGACCTCAATGTAAAACCAACATGAGATCAGAACCAGGTCTGGTGTATGTGTGTGTGTAGTATGTACTTCTACTGTTTACAGGCCAAATATATACTAGTTTGAGTGGGAATAAAATATGGCCCTGTTGCTGAACAATTTAAATATCAAATGTATTTTAAATAACTATAATAGGGCCAAATCCTGCAGCCCTTACTCAAGTTAGCCTAACTCCCAGGACATTAATGTGATTTTTGCCTGAGTAAGAACTGTACAATGTGGCTCAGAGTATGATATAGAATGTCTGTCTTCTTTTCTTAAAACTTTAGTATAATAAATCATTGAGTGCAACTCAGGAGTAGGAAAAATGAAAGAGAATGGTCAGTCAGGTGAAGGTTCTAACCAAGATAAGGCCATATCATAAAGAGAAGTACAGCACCTAGCACAATGGAGGCCTAGTCCATCACTAGGGCTCCTAGGTACTACAACAATAGTAACAATAATCATTAATAATATATTAGCATGTATCACATTTACTCCCAACTCAGTTTAAGCTTCCTGTTCATCAAGTGGCAGCTGCAAAAAGTACATCCCTTACAGAAATATAATGATGCTGCAGAATACCTTATTCTCTTATATTTTGTTTATATAGGGGCCATATCCTCAGCTGGTGTAAATTAGTATAGCTCCACTGATGGCATGGACTTTCAAAGTGACTATATTATATGCATTGTATCTCTGAGACACTGGGTCAAATTCAGATAAATGCAGCCTGGAAAAAGCCAGTGTAACTCCCAGGAGAGTCTCTGGGTTCAATTCAGTGGTGATCAATGCACTAGGCCAGATTTTGCTGTCACTTACATTGGTGTAAACCTGGAATAATGCAATTAAAGTAAATGGAGTTACTCCAGTTTATGGCAGTACAAATGATAACAGAATCTGGATGTCAAGTCGTCATAAAAGAGTTGTAAGTTAATGTAAGTGGCAAAGCACTGTAACCTTGCACCAATTTGGTATTCACTCAATAGATCTGTGTGTAACTTGCACACTATTGTTTGGAAGTGGTGTAGAAGTAAATTAAATTGATTCTGCTCTCACTTGCACCAATGTAAACTAGGAATAACTCTACTGAAGTTAAATTAATTACACTGGTGTAAAACCAGTATAAACAAGAACTGAATCAGATCCAGAATTTTTAAAGATAAATCACTCTGGTCTATTTTAACTTACTCCCAGGGCCTCATTCACCCTTGGCATAATAGGCACAACACCGAGTGGGCTGGATTCTGATATCTGTTATTCCAGTTTTACAGCACTGTATCTCCATTAACTTCAGTGGAATTATTTCTAGTTTATACTTGTGTGAGAGGAGAATAAGGGCAATTGACTTCAATGGGTATATCCCCTTCTTAAAACCACAGCTGATTTTGGTCTTCAAAGAATGCATTCACTTTGTACACTCACTCAACAATAAAAATCACAATATTTTGCCATTCACAACCAGTTTCTGGCCAACTGATGAACAACATGTAATTTACACCATCATTCATAGCACCCATGTACTTTGTCCATTTAGTCAAATTTATACCTTGTGTAAATCAGTTAATAGACTTGGACCAGGAATGAATATGGGTGATTAAATCAAAACCTAGCTTTTACTTAGCATTAAGGGCCTTATCCAACTCCCAGTGGGAATCTTTCCATTGATTTCTATAGAAGTTCTATCTTGCCCTTAAAAGGTGAATAGACCCTGGAACATAAGCAGGCCCCTTGTTTTTCCTGACTTCCTGCCTTTTATCTTTTCCTCCCCCTCACCCCAACAAAGGTCATGGTAGGCAACTGGGATTCAGTAAGAGTTGATGGTGCTCAGCACTCACAGGATCAGACCACATCATTAAATGGACTTTTTGAAAATATTCATCCAGGGCTCCAAATTTTTAAAGGTTTTACTTTTCTTTACTCAGCCTTTTGTCTCAGGGTTCCTCAGGGAACCAATATACAATTTGTAGACACTTTAGTTATGATTATTTAACATGCCATTAACTTGAAAAACTGGTTAAGTGGAAGGAAAAAATAATCTACTTGTAACTTCTACCTATGAAATTTTCCAATTTGCATAATATTTACTGTCATCCTAATTTTCTGTATGCCCTGAGGCAACATTTATATTTCCTACTATATTATATTATATTTATTAAAGTGTTTTTAGGG